TCCACTGTGTATTTCACCTGTCCACACTCCAGGATTGTGTGAGGAACTAATGAAATGCTATACACAAAGACATTTGGAAAAGTTCACAAACCTCTCCAACGTCATCATCATTGTCATCATCACATAATTTTCACCCTTCATCTCTCTGTATTTTTTACAGAGTCCCTCCTGAACCTCTCCATCTGGCATCCTAACCAGTCAACCACTAGGAGGGAGACCCTGAGCCACATGCAGAAAGTGGCTCTGTTCAAACTCCAGAGCTATTGGCTTCCCAACTTTTACACCCACGCCAAGATGGCCATGGCCAAGGAGGAAGCATGCCATGGTCTGATGCAGGAATATGAGACACGCCTGTGCAGTATTTGCTGCACCCACGCAGGAGGGCTCCCTCTGAACATGACCATCAAGAAGTACCACCACTTTCAGAAGCGGTACTCGAGCAGTAAAGCCAAGAGGAAGATGTGGCAATTGATAGATTCTGGCTCTTGGTCTCTGGACATGGACTTTGAGCCAGATACCAACACTATGGCCCCGCAGGAGATGTGTCCTCAAGAGAAGGTGGTTATACAAGTGCCTTCCCTGAAAGTGCCTTCTTCAAAGGAGAGAATAATCAGTCCCCTGGGAAAGGATAGTCACCATGCCAGGAAGTCCGGCATGAAGAAGAAAGCCAAGAGTCACCTCCACATGGAGGGCCTCTTTGAGACGAAGTTCTCTACCCACCTGAGGACTGTCACCCCCATCATCAATTACTCCTCCCATCTAACTATGAAGAAGGTCATCAGTCAAAACCTCTCCATCGGGTATACCTACTGGGCCTTGTGTGCTGATGCCTATGCAGGAAATCCTTTCCGGAACCACCTGAAGCAGCTGGATTTGAAAGTGGAGATCCAGCTTCTGGACCTCTGGCAGGACCTGCACCATTTCCTCAGTGTCCTGATGAATAACCGGAAGAATGGGGATGCCATATTTCGTCACATGCTGGGTAACAGAATCTGTGAGCTCTACCTGAATGAGCAGATTGGTCCATGCTTACCACTCAAATCCCAAATCATTCAGGGCCTAAAGGAACAGCTGCCTTCTGGGAATGTGAACCCCTGGATTCCTAAAGCCCAGAAGGAGATCTGCAAGGTAGGCCATGTCTCACAGAAGTGGGTTAGTATCTGGCAGATTAGGTCAATACTGACCAAAAATGCTATCTGATCATCTATACTGGCTAGGTTAAAGACATAATTACTCACATAAACCTTCACATATTGAAGAGTTGGTTGATATTTTAAGGCACAAAATTTGCAACTTCCCCCAAACCAGCCAAAACTCTGAAGTAGAGTAGGTGAGGACTTTTCAATATCTTTTCCTTTTTCACTTCCTCCTTACATGCAGTCTCCCAAAATCATGAACTTCAGGGTATTCTAAGAGGGAACTTTTAAAATTTCTGTTATAAATACTAGATATGGAAAAGCAGGGTCTCCCTTTGCTAGGCTAGCCATCAAGGAAACGGCCCATTGGGAGGGGTTTATTCTTTTCCAAAACATTGGATAAAAGCAAGGGAATGTCCTGAAGATTCACAGGAAGTGAAGCTCATAGCATGACTATTGTAGCAACAAGTGCTTGACAGGAAACAAATGGCAGCGTCAAGCTGGGCAACAGATGAGAGCCAAATAAGAAGGGCTACTCACAAAAGAGTGGGTGAGGCAATAGGAAAACCACAGGGACAGTGCAATACCACAAGACCAGTAAGGGTAGGGCACATTTATCACTCCTAGGCATGAAGAATTGAGGAGAGGGAGTAGTTACTAGAACCAGGAGAGAAAGAGCTGTATTGAGTGTGATGCTTGGCACAAGCTGTCATCATTAGTCGAGGGATGTCACCAGTTTACAGCGATCTAGCTTGGAGGGATTGGGGAAATAGTTAGCCCCAGCTCAGTCTCCTGCTTTCCCATCTCCTGCCAAGACACCCCATCTGATTAACACAATCGGAAGAAAAGGAAGCTTGTTGATGTGGTCTATACAGGTTAATCTTCCAAGGCACAAGCAGGGTGAAACAGAGTAGAGAGTAGATCTGAAGGAGCAAATGGATTATTTAGTGCATTATAATGTGTTTGCACATTAACATACATTTTCTCCTCTATACTTCATAGCACTCCCAAGAGACAGACAGAGAAGTATTGTTGCCTCTGTTGTACAGATGAGAAAAAATGAGAGTCAGAGATCTGAGTAAGTGAATTAGTACAAAGGCATGCATCTGGCTAGTGGATGATCCAGGATCAGATCCTAGCAGTTCTTGGCTCAAAGTTCAACACGATTTCCAATATATCATAATTATCCAAGTTTGTACATCCAAGTAGTGTCAGACCTTATCAGTCAGTGGATTCACAGCCAAAGCTCTCCTTTGCACAATTCTTTTTTTTTTTTTTTGAGACACAGTCTTGCTCTGTTGCCTGGGCTAGAGTGCTGTGGCATCAGCCTAGCTCACAGCAACCTCAAACTCCTGGGCTCAAGCGATCCTTCTGCCTCAGCCTCCTGAGTAGCTGGGACTATAGGCATGCGCCACCATGCCCGGCTAATTTTTTCTATATATTTTTAGTTGTCCAGATCATTTCTCTCTATTTTTTAGTAAAGACAGGGTCTAGCTCTTGCTCAGGCTGGTCTCGAACTCCTGACCATGAGCGATCCACCTGCCTTGGCCTCCCCGAATGCTAGGATTACAGGCGTGAGCCACCACGCCCGGCCCACAATTCTTGATTAATGAATACCCAGAAGCAACCCTACCTACTGTGGAGGCATTTGGGGCTAGAGGCTCAGACTGGGATTGTGCTTCCTGGGTCATCAAATTTTCACAGCAAATCTCCCCGACTTGGCCTTGGTCTTCTGTAAAGATATTGAAGATATTTGTATATAGATAAGGCTGGCGTATCATAGTTTCTCAGAGTAAAAATCTTGATATCATTCTTAACTGACCTCTTTGTCTTATACCCATGCCTAGTCTATTGGTGAATCCTATTTGCTCAACCTTAAAAATCTATCCAGAAGTGACCACTCCTCCCCTCCCTTGTTACAAGCACTCTCACTTAAGCCCCAGCCTTCCTCAAGGGTGCTACTGTAATGGCCTCCTACCTCCTAACTGATGCCTTTGTGTCTGCCCTTACCCCTCAGCAGGCTCATTTACATACCAATCACAGGGATTCTGCCCAAACAGCAATAGTATAATTTAACTGAAATAAGTAAAAGGAAGTGAAGATCTTGAAAAGAGATAATTTTCTGTCTTAGTAAAGCCATTTGACTTTCAGTAAAATCCAAAGTCCCTGATAAAACTAACAAGGCCCTACATCATCTTCACTCCACCTCCCCTCTTTGGATTTATCTACTATTTCTCCCACTAGGTTCATCACCAGCTATGCCAGACATACTACCAGCTTGGCTCTGCTATGCTGTGTAACGTAAGATGCCAGCATGGCTTAGTCTCCCTCTCTCTCAGGTCTCTGCTCAAGAGTTGCCTTCTCATTGAGAACTTCCTTGGCCAATTTATTATATGTAAAATTTCAACCATTCCCCAATTTTTCCTTTCTCCTTAGCAGTCATCACTATCTAAATACACACATACTCAGAGTGTCACCAACAATATGGTGGAATAGGAGGTCCCCAGCCATTGTTCACCCACTAAAACACTGACTTGGCAACTGTCCACAGATAAAAGTGCCTTTTGGGGAGCTTTGGTGCCCAGGTAGGAGGTTACCACACCTCAGGGAAGCTTAAGACCAAGGAAGGCTCCTTTGAAAATGCAGGCCCATACCTCTGGTACAAGGCCTGCCAATCATGAAATGAAATGAAATCCTTATTTCCCATCATATACAAAAATAAACTCAAAATGGATTACAGGCCTTAACATAAAACATGAAACAATAAAACACTTAGGAAAAAAATATAGATGAAAAGCTTCTAATCACTAGACCGGGCAATGATTTCTTGGATATGACACCCAAAGCACAGGCAACAAAAGCAAAAATACACAAATGGGATCACATTAAACTAAAAAGCTTCTGCACAACAAAGAAATAATTATTATAACAAAATTTCTATGAAATGGGAAAAATATATATCTGATAAGGGGTTAATATTCAGAGGATTTTTAGTTTGATGTAATCCCATTTGTCTATTTTTGATTGTGTCGCCTGTGCTTTTGAGGTATTCTCCTTAAAATATTTGCCCAGACTAATGTTCTGAACCATTTCCCTTGTGTTTTCTTCTAGTAATATGATAGTTCTGGGACTTACCTTTGAGTTTTTAAAATCTATGTTGAGTTTTTTCTACATGGTGAGAGGCAGGGATCTAGTTTCATTTTTCAGCATATCGATATTGTTTCCCAGTGCCATTTATTGAAGAGACTATCATTTCCCCAATGAATGTTCTTGATGTCTTTGTTGAAAATTAGTTGGCTGTACACGTGTGGATTTATTTCTGGGTTCTTTATTCTGTTCCATTGGCCTGTGAGTCTGTTTTTATGTCAGTACCATGCTGTTTTGGTTACTATAGCCTGTAGTATATTTTGATGTCAGGTAGTGTGACCTGGTGATATAGTCTCCTCACAGCTTCTTCAGCTGCATTCAATGTCAGCAATAACTGCATGTTTGTCAGTGACCTAGCCTGTAGAAGCTTATGTCAATGGCAACAGTGGCCTAGGTGGTTAATGTCCTTGGTGTCAAGGATTTTGGGGGGTCCTCCTATTCTCATTTTCCTCACAGTGAGGAGACTTAGCCAGGGGGATCCCTCTTGGTGTCAGGTCTGACACAGCCTACAACAGATATAGCAGCAGTGGCTTCCAGGTGCAGATGCTTGGAGTAGCTGTGAGTCTGAGGTCTTAGGTTCAGGGTCTCATGAAACTATTGTGGCACTTGGGTCTTAAGGTGCAGATTTGCTGTCTGTAAGAGAGTTGGATGTAGGCTGCCCACGGAGCCAGGATCTGTGACTCTGATGCATCTCCGGGCAGCTCAGGCCCAGGTGCTGTGTTGTATCAATAGCTATGATCCTGCCTCTGGGGGAATGTGGCCAAGGCATCATTTCCCTGGGAAGCCTGGAAGTTTGGGCCCAGAGAGCAAGGCATAGCTGCAATTTGGGAACCTGAGCCAAAAAGTTTCAGCGGCAACTTGGGTCCCTGGGGGTTTGGCACTGTGCAGTGGTGACTCTAGGCCCTGGGAGGGTGGGACTCAGAAGTATCCCAGACTCTGTGAGGCCAGGTGCAGCAGCAGCAAGTGCCCCAGAATGGTGGAGCACAGCTATTGCTTGGGCCCTGTGGGGCAAAGCGCAGCATTACAATGATTGTACTTCCTGAGAAGGGAGTGTCTCAGTAGCTCAGACTCTAGGGGACTAGTCTAGCTCCAGGGAAGCAGGATATTAGATTTGTTTGGCCTTTAGGATGGGGTGTCTTAGCTCAGCCACTGGGACCCAGGGTACTATCTCAACTCAGCCCTGGGACGTGTAGCTGCTCAACTCAGCCATGACACTGATTCCCCAGAGGGTAATGTATCACTTCAGCTCAGGCCCAAGGGGCATGACAGTTCTGGACAGCCCAGGCACCATTTCCCTGCAATGTAGGGCACTATTTCGGCTGAGGTACTGGGGTTCATGGCCATTCTGGATAGCCAAGGGAGGCAGGGCACTGCTTTAACTTATGCACTAGGGATACATGACGGCTCTGGGTGGCCAAGGCATCATTTCCCTGGGAAGCCTGGTATTACTTCAGCTCTAGCAGAGCGGGGGAGGAGGCAGCAGCAACTGGGAGAGGAATATGAGAGCTCCCCACAAGGCACTGTTTCCTCAGGAGGCAGTGCACAGTTTCATCTCAGGCCCCTAGGGGCAGGCACAGCTGCAGCTTAGAGAGGAATACGGAGCAATTCTGCCAAAGTGCCATTTCCCCAGGAGGGAGCGCACAGCTCCAGGTCCAGCTGAGGGGGCAGAAAAAGGATAGGTGGCGCTGTTCTAATGCAGCTTGGCCCCATGGGGAAGGGCATAACAGCTGCCCACAGCTAGGTTAGGGGTGGTTCGGTGGCAGTTTAGCCTAAGGCATGAAGGGGTGCTGTGGCTACTCACCCCTGGAGCAAGACACACCCTAGCAGTAGTTCCATTTCCAAGATGGCATACCACAGCAGTTGTGTGGGCCACAGAGAGTGTCAGCTCCTTCTCTGTGGGGAGCACAGCTGTGTGAACTCCAGGCAGCTCCCTCAGCTCCCTCAGTGCCTGTGAGGACTGCAGAGACCCCCAGTGGTGAGGACTGTAGGTGTCCCAGGTGTTGATGGGGGTTGCTGGGATCTTTTCGCTTACCTTTTCACCTAGGGAGAAGTTCTTCCTGGTTACCAGCTGATCCAGGCTGGTGGATGAGGTGGTGGAGGTTGGGTGTTTCTTTTCATTCTCTATGTGACTATTCCTGAGTTTCTGTGCTCACCATGTTTTCCATTATTCCTTCAATGTACTCCAGCACTTTCCTTTAGTTATTTTCATTAAAACCTACTTTTTAATTTATTGTTTTGGCTATCTTTTGGGAGGAAAGAGTGCTAGGGTCTTCTAGTCGGCTATCTTGCCGATGTCACTCACTCTGATCCTTGCACGTGGGATGATAATGGCTCCCTCAAACAAAGACACTATACAGGCCAGATGTGGTGGCTCATACCTATAATCCCAGCACTTTGGGAGGCCGAGGCAGGAGGATTGCTTGAGGCCAGGAGTTTGAGACCAGCTTGGGAAATGTAACAAGACCTTGTCTCTACAAGAAGTTAAGAGAATTAGCCTGGTGTGGTGGTGCATGCCTTAGTCCCAGCTACTTGAGAGGCTGAGGTGGGAAGATCATTTGAGCCTAAGAGTTTGAGGTTACAGTGAGCTATGATCAGGCCACTGCACTCCAGCCTGGATGACAGAGTGAGACCTCATCTCTAAAAAGAAAAGACAGTATAAGTACAGTGTCTGACAAGTAGTAGGTACACAAACGTTCCTTCTCTTTGAACCTTTATCAGATCCATAGAACCTCGGAATAAGAAAGGGCCTTAGAGGTTCTCTCATCCTCCTCTCTTATTGTACAGAAGAGGGAACAAACTCTAAGTTCTCACTGCTGTTTACTGACAAGTGCAGAGCCAATGACCAGATTCCTGCTCAGTCTATTGCAAGGTTAGCAAACTACAGTCTGGGAGCTAAATCCAGCTTCCCACCTGTATTTGTATGGCCAGCAAGCTAAGAATGGTTTTACATTTTTTCAATGGTAGAAAAATATCAAAGAATATATCATGACACATGGATATTATATGAAATTCAAATTTTAGTGTCCATAAATAAAGTTTATTGGAACACAGCCATGCCCATTTGTTTATGTGTTGTCAAGTCCTACAACCACGTAGTTGAGTACTTCCAACAGAGACCAGGTTACCCGCACAGCTATATTTGCTCTCTGGTCCTTTACAGAAAAAGTTTGCAGATCCTTGATCTACTGCATTACACACTACTCTGAGGAGGGACCAGGAGGGTTTATTGAGTGATATACAAGCTCAATTCTGAAGAAAATCCCAATACATTATAACAAATATCAATCATAGAGTTTTTAGATATTGTTTTATTATTTTTATTTTTGATTATTATTATTTTGATAAAAATCTGATTATTTCTTTTAATAGAAAATGTTCAGTGAAACATTGTTTCTTAAGAAATCAATTTGATTTTTTATTCATTAATTATTAGAGTCATAAATCTCTTAAACCGAAAAGGGTGTTAATAGGGTCCTCATTTCACATATGCTTTTTATTATTCATATTTAATACATGTATTTACAGTTTATCCATTAGTGAATAACATTATATTACATTACACATTGCTAGGATTCAATCATCGAACTGAATTCTCTCAGGAATATATTTCACTCCAGTTGCCCAGGAAATTAGGAGATTTGATAAAGCTGCTAACATTCATACCATTAAACTCACTTTTTGGCAGCTCCACTGAGGCAGTTTGTGGAGACAATCTTACATTCCTTAAAGATTACTATTGGCAATTCATTGCATGCAAAATCATGCCCAAATTACTTAACAAGGCATTCACGTGCTCCATGTAGAGTCCCAATCAACCTTCCCTGCCTCATCTCTTGCCACTTCCCCCATTCCTACAATCTTCACATGAATGCAACATTTCATCCACACTGCAGTCCTCATCATTCTCAAACGTGTCCTATCCCATCTCTGTGCCTTTGCTTAAACTTTTCTCACTGCATGAATTGCCCTTTACTCAGCTTCCTTATGGTGAGCTCCTATTTATGCAAGATGCAAATTCTAGATTAAATCTCCTTGCTTTTGTGAATTTTTCCTGGATTTCCATAACTCGATCAGAAATAATTGTTCCTTTCTCTCTGCTCCCAGAGAATCTTGTTCATATCTCTATCATAGCACGTGTCATATGCTATTCATCATGCTGGAAGGTGAGCTCCTTGGAACGATGCTTGTAGCATACTGATCTCTGTATTGCCAGCAGTTCGCATGGTGCCTAGCATGTAGGAGGCACTCGGAAAACATTTGTCAAATAAATAAATGAATGAAAGAGTATGGATAAATAAATATAGCTAAGCACTAACTCACAGGTTTTGTTGTTTATTTTTTGTTTTAATGTAATGTAATGAAATGTTCTTCACAAATGCATAAGGTCTTCAAGTGGGAGATATAAGACACAGCAAAAAGTGATGCACGGTTTTCAGGGCCATTTTGAGGTCCAAATGAGATGCTCTGTGGAAAGGAATGAAGTCATATGCACATGTCAAGTACTTGTCCTGTAAATTACCTGTTATCTCTCTTCTTAAATAAATATTTATCGCTATTCTCTAAAGCTTGGAGAGAGGCTGTGTAAGCTGCCATATTCAGAGAGATAAAAGAATGCCTCCTGGTTGGTCATAGCTAGTGTTTGCTCTTCCCTTGGATCTCCAGGTTAGAGAATCCAGAATCTGTAGCCCACTCTGCTCCCAGGTGAGCACAAGCAGAGAAGATATAGCCACCTGAGCATCCAACTAATGATGTTTGTGCTGTGTTTGTATTTCAGATGCTCAGCCCCTGGTATGATGAATTCCTGAATGAAGAGGACTACTGGTTTCTCCTTTTTACCGTAGGAGGGACTTTGGGTTGGGAGGAAATCATGAGGTTGAGGACAGAAGAGAGAGTAATTGCTATTTTAGAAGCCTTATTCATTAAAGTAAATGAAATTTTTACTTTCCTGGAGGCAACTAGAGATTGACATGGTCCTTGATGTTCAAAAAAGAAAAGGACTCAATGCATCAGCTGACTTTGAAGAAGTCACAATCATAAAATTTCTCCCTTATAGAAAATAGGTTTGATTAGAAGAGGAAGGGGGGTTGGTATGTAAAGGAGGAATGGTTCTTAACAATTAAAACAATCATCATAAGTCCATGTGACAGGGAGGCATGAAGGACTGAATTATCACAAAACTGTTGCTTCTGGTCTAGTTCCTGCAACAAATTCTGTCTTTCCCCCATTCCCTTCTCTTAGACTCAACACAGGCTCATCAGTGCCAAGTGGCATAAAAGAGACTCTATAAGCAAAGAAGAGAATATCGTTCTTTATAAGAGGGTTCAGAAATCTCTGGAGTTAAGCCAGGCTTTGGCTAGCATGGAGGAAATGGATTCTATGCAGTGGCAAAAGATAGCTACCGAAGACCTGAAACAAGGAGGGTCTCTCCAGGTAGAGCTGTCGTCTCCAGTGTTTCTAGTAGGTAAGAGCAGTCACTGGAATTTTTTTGACCCTTACGTATATAAGCAACTGAGAAACATTAATATTTACTGATTATTTACTGTGCATCAGCATAATGCCATGCAAGGATCACTTTATTTGATCTTCAAAATAATCTATGAGGTAAGTACTAAGTAACTGAGGCACAGAGAGGATGTGACCTTCCCGAGGTCACATAGGATGTAGCAGGGTCGGACTGGAATGCAGACAGACTAACTGCAGAGCCCCCTACTGGATCTGAGGGAGCCAGAAGACTCAAGTTTGGCCAGACTCTTGCCCGCCAAAGCTTCACCACGGTTAACGCTGAACACTTCATTTCGCGCGTCTGATAAGCATGGTCCACCACACCTCCCCCAGAATCAGGTCCGAGGGCATTAACAGGCATCCTCTTCCCTAACATAACACACCAGCCAGCCCAGGCGTAGAGAGAAGTAATTAGCACAAAGCACAAGGCTCTGCTGTCCCAGAAGTCTGGGGTTATGTCCTTGCTCTACTATTGACTGTGTATGCTTGAGAAATATATTTAACCTCTCTTTAAACCCCCGTTTTCTCATCTGTGAAGTGGTAGTGATAACAGGCTTGTTCTGAAGGTGAACTGAGATCATTTACGAAAGCTATTAGCACAATGTTTGGCAATAGTAAATGTTCAATAGTATAAACGTCAGCCATTATCATTCAAATAGATCATACTGCTTTAATTATATTGAGGCATTTGGAGCACTTCATGTTTCTCAAACTTCAATCCACAATAAATACATTTGGCCTCATGATTCTTTAAACATATGCTTGTGTATATGTGTGCACATGTATATGGGAAAAAAATTTCACAAAGCAATACTTGCCCTTGTTACGTAAAATGATATACTCTAACACTCTCTATTCTATCCTATTTCATGTTATAAAAGCTAACAATGACTCAATTTATTTTCTGGAATACTAATGAGTCATGACCCACACTTTGAAAAACACTAAGAGAAGGAGTGAGCGAATGCTTTGAAAACTCAGTTGTACCACTCACTGGCTCTGTGAGCTTGGGCAAGTTACTCCATCTCTCTGAACCTCATTTCTTTGTCTATAGAATGGGGATAATTGCCCCTACTTTGAAATAACATTGAGAGGATTAGAAGTAACATATTTATACAACAAGCATATACTCAATAAATGGTACTTGTTATATTACCAAAAAATGTAACACTAAACTAAAAAACACTTTAACATGTACCCTAATATGCAAAACAAGATGTCCTGGGTGCTTACCCCTCAGGGCCATGCTTAGGCATGAGTTATTTAAATCTTGCATGAACAGGCCCTCTTTTTCACCCTAGAGGTTTCACCTTCTCTCTAAAACCTGAGCATTCTCGAACATTGCCAAGGAAATCAAGGCAGAAGTAGAAGACAGATGGCTGTTAAATGTCACCACACACATACTGGGTGACAGGCATTACTTTGGTGGTCGTGCAGTGGCAGGGGGAGCCAGGAAGAATGGGAACCATCCTCCATGGAGACTCCCTGTTCCTCCCCTCAACACACATGATTACTTCCTCTGTCACGGCTTTTTTGGAGCACAAGTCTGGCCTAATAAAGTGCCTTCTTTGCATTTGTCCAAGCCAGGGCCCTGACTTCCAGGTGGGCTGGTGCTTCCACTCAGGCCTGAGTGTTGAGGGGAGGGACAGGGAGTCTCCATTGAGAATGGTCCTGGATCCATTGCAGAAACAATCCAGTGCTCTTATCACTGATGGCCAGAGTCCCCTGCCTGACACACGATGATGATGGTGATGACGATCATGATGATGATGGTGATGATGTCAACGACATTGATGACAATGATGCTTACATAAGGATAACTGACATTCACAGGTTCACATCCTAGTATTTCCCCTTGACTCCAAAAGTACACCTTCAGAAGGTACTGGACTGCCAGGAGAGTTCCAGGAGAACTCTGTGCAATTGGTTATGCTCTAAATCCCAGAACTCACAACACAAATGAATATTTTCACCATGGTAGGAGGCGAGGTGCTGCTACTCTGCTTCTATTGCCCAGAACATAGTTAAAACTTCTCTCACTAGCTCAGCCATATTGGTCCCACCACATTCTGGATACAAAAAGGTATTCCCTCTCAATTCATTACACATAACTAAAAATGACATATGGCTGTTTCTAGAAAAAAAATCCATCCCCAAATGCCAATGATTTGCAAGTATTAATGATAGTCAGATAAATAAGCTGTTGATTCTGAAGTTAATCCCCAAAGCAGAGCCAAGAAAGAGAAAACAATATAACATATTACTTGTCATGTATTATTCTTAGGTACATCAAATTCTTTGAAGCAATAGCGGAATGTTTGAAATACATTTACAACTCTCCCCATTGCTTTGAAGGGATCAGCATTCATTTGTGTGAGTTACTTCTTATGTATGAATTAACAATTAGTAGCTCTTTCAAGTCATATCTCTGAATGTTACGCTAACATTCCTCATGCAGAAAATCTCCATGGGTCAGTTTTCCCTAAGAAGAGCATAATCCTGCCATTCTGGAGGGGAGAGGAGTCTATATTGCCTTGCTTATAATTTGGCTTAGGGAACTTGCATTCTTTATGGAAATATTCCATTAAAACACTACTGTCCTACTTAAGTAACATTTAAAGGCAATACCTTCAACAAAGGTATATTAATCTTTGAACCCAGAGTAGACAACTAGACTTGAGCAGCTGGGATTACAGGCATGAGCCACCACACCCAGCCCAGACAACTAGACTCTCTCTCTCTCTCTCTGTTGGTCCTTACTTCACAGATGTGAGCAAAATGTCCTTTGAGGAACTCTGCTATAAGAATCCAAAGATGGCCATAGAGAAGATAAGTGATGACTACAAAACGTATTGTGAGAAACTACCCCAAATAGGCAAGTATTTAAACACAGGGATATATTTGAGGCAACTAGGTTTTTCCAAATCTAAGAGAGAATTTCTAAACTCAAGAAGCATAAGTCAAAAGAGGAATTTTGCTTTGTGTGAAATGGAGAGATGGTTAAGGGGCAATGACTATGTCTTTTGGAGGTTTTTTTTTTGTCTTTTTTTAAATAATCATCTTTACAGGGACTTTGTCTTTTTTTCTCCTACAAAGCCACAGAAAGGAATCATGAAAATGAAATGCAATTGTAAATGAATTAAGATGATGATGGTTAAAGATTATTCATTTCTACTTTCTTAGCTAGTTATCACTCTTGGGTTTCTTTAATTTTAAAATATTAAGGAGGTATAAATGTTTTTGTTACATGGATGCATCATATAGTGCTAGGTTTTAAGTAATGTGGATTCATCTTCTGCCAAGTTTCCTGGGGACCGAGACTTGTGGAAGGATGTTTGTTAGGGAGTGTTCTTGGGAATGACATCTATAACGTAGTGAGGGAGAGAGGATTGGGCAGACATGGATGCCCAACTGTGAGGCAGTCACAACAGGCCTCAGCAGATACCATGGGAAACTCTGGAGCTAGGATGGCCCTTGAAAATTGTCCCTCAATGAGCCAAGGGATGCCCCTGGGGCAGATATAATCTTGGGTCTGGAAGTTTCCTTTGGCTGAGGCAACTCCCAGAGAGGGCCTCAGCTTTGACCTACCAGCATCTGACACTTCAGGTAGCTAGAGAAATGAGTGCTTTGGTTCTGAAGGAAGGATCTGGGTAGCACCCAGTAGCACATACTCCCGTCTTAGCCCCATCTTAGAACAGCTCCTCCAGGAATCTGGTTGGTTTCTTTTCCTGGGGACCCTATTTGAGAAAGGCTGATCCACATTACTACACCTTATCTGGAGACCCTAATATTCCACTTCTCCCTCCTCTGTTCCCCATCCTAGATTTCCCTTATGCTCAGCTAGTTACCTCTGCTGGTCTTGGGGGCTTAGCTGGCAGGATGACCTATGTTCTCATTTCTGAGGTATCTGAGTCCCTGGTCATCATGACTTTCAGGGTGTAGTTGCTTCACATGTCAATTTATCATCAAAATTGGGCCAAGGATTTTGGCAAGTAAATTTTCCACTACTCCTGCTATGTAACTCATGATCTGATGATTCAGGTCAATTACTCCACAGGTATAGTGACTCCTTTGCTTGCCTGATGGCTTCCTGACATAAGGAGCTTAAAGTAACTGAGCACCTACTATGTCCCCTAGTAGAGGCATTCTGCCTCTGGGACCAGGATCCCTAAACCAGAACTGTCTAGTACAGGAGGCACTGGCCCCATTCTGTACGTCGTCTATTCACTCTAATGATAGTTTCCTTGGCTGTTCAGAAGCTTTTTAATTTGATCAGGTCCGATTTATTTATTTTTGTTGCTGCTGTGATTGCTTTGGGGGTCTTCTTCAAAAATTCTTTCCCTAGGCCGATGTCTATAAGAGTTTTCCCAATATTTTCTTCTAGAATTCTTACAGTTTAACGCCTAAGGTTTAAGTCTGTTATCCATCGTGAGTTGATTTTTGTGAGAGGTGAGAGGTGGGGATCCAGTTTCAATCTTCTGCATATAGATAGCCAGTTTTCCCAGCACCATTTGTTGAATAGAGATTCTTTTCCCCAATGTATCTTTGTGTCTGCTTTATTGAAGATTAGATGACAATATGAGAATGGCTTTATATCTGGGTTCCTAGTCCTGTTCCAAAGGTC